ATGTGACTTATGTTAGTCAAAAGACAAAAGCTACAACATGCTTTTGGCACCATATCGGATGCACAAACCGTTGATTTAGAGTATGTTCCTGAAGATTCAGCAAAAGCCATCAATGATGAACATTTTAAGGGCGTGTTTGAGCATTTCAGATATGATCCCTCGCTTAGGGAGAAAGAGCTTGAGCCCCATCAAACGATTGAAGAAATGTTCCCTGATCTTAAACAACCTATTCTCCAAGATCAAGATAGTGGCGAAGAGGATACAGATAGCCAACAGCCGTTGTCTAAGAAAAAGGCAAGAAAACTAAATCGAATTCCGCTTGCAACTCTGAAGACCCTGTTTAAACGGCCCGAAATTATTGAGGTTCATGTTAGCTTTCATATCTATAGTGGGTCGATGTAACGTCTCCTGACCCGGTACTTTTAGTTACGTTGAAAAGCCTGCGAAATACCGTCCCTGTCCCGCAACACTGGCAACAAAAAAGGAAGTATCTTGCTGGAAAAAGGGGCTTTGTGAAGCCCCCCTTTGAATTGCCGCCATATATAAAGGCCTTGGGGATTGTTGATTTGAAGGCCGCCTCTTTGGCCCAAGAATCGTCAAAGTCATTGAAGACCAAGACAAGACAAAGGCTTGTCCCGAAGCTTGGGAAAATATCCCTCGACTACGAAAGGATGCATGATGCTTTTTTTAAGCACCAAACGAAGCCTCCGATGTCCAAATTTGGAGATTTGTAATGGCAAGACATTTACTTTTAGGTACTTTGAGGGGAAGGAATTTGAGTGTAAGGCCTCCAATATTGTCCCGGGCCAATATTCTGATGAACTTCGGACTGCTCTTGCCATGCCACATCCCTGTGCGCCTCCCTGGATTGTTAATATGCAGCGTTACGGCCCGCCCCCTAAATATCCCCATTTGAAGGTTCCTGGTGTAAATGCTCCTATCCCCGTTGGGTAAGCTTTGGAAATACTTTCCTGTAGCGGTCAGTGGGGCTACCAGCAAGGAGGCTGGGGAAAGGCTCCTGTTGATGAGGTATAACGAGCTCTCTTTTTTTAGTTCAACCGGCCCCTTTTCGGCGATGTTTTCGGGTTGCAGGCACCAGCTACCGTGAAGGTGACGACATTTGTGGAATTTATTTTCAGACTGAAGCTCCAGTTAACAGGACATATTGGGGAAAGCTTGAAGTGGAGACACTACCTGAGATTTATTCCGAAGACGTAACGGAGGAAGATCTTATGGACCTGCCCCCTGATGAGACCTCAGCGGTTGTAGATAAGAGCAAAAAAGTTTCCCAAACTCCAGCGACAAAAATTGTATCCATTTCTGAAAATAAATTCCA